TATAGAGAGCTTGGGTTAGTCAACTTCAGATATTGCAATGAAACACCCGAGATGATGGTCTCACAAAGGAAACAGACTAATTTGGGCTCCAGTTCAAGATCAGGTGCTCATGGCTTTGGCATTTGACAAGGACAGCATGGTACCATGGAAGTATTTGACAGACCAAAAAAGCTTGTACTATGAGCCAGAAAGCAAATAACAAATGGCAGGAAGAGACTGGCATTTCATAACGTCCTTCGACGGTACTCTCCACAAAACTGAAGGACCTCTCATGAGGTATGGCTTCAGAAGACTCCATCCCTTTGCCCCCTGCAGCACCACCATGGGGATCAAGGATGCAACATTTGACCTTTATTCACTTTAGAGCAGAAGTGATGAAGGATGTGATCCTTACTAAAGTAGGCCAAGCAAACCTGTGTCCCCTGTCTACCACAGGAGGACACAAAGAAAGTGTTTTCACCAGACTCCAAATCTGCTGCCATCTTGAGATTCTCAAAAAATTTTTGATGTCTGTAAGAAACCAAATTTGTGGTGATTTTGTTAGAGCAGCAAACATACACTAAGCCAGTGCTTCTTTCCATGTGAGGTATATCTTCCTTCTCATTTTCGGCAGCCAACATCACACCTATACATGATCTCACACTCTGAAACCATATCTACCTTTCACCTGTCTTCCTCTGGATCCATCTAAGATGCCATGCCCCTTCATCCGAGTGGTCATGTGATCTGGAGTACTTTCTAGGAAGCCAGTCCACCAACCCTAAAATGCCCATCTGTTTTTGTTTGCTTTGACTCTTTGCTTTACAATGTGATTGTACAATTTGAGTCCTCCTTGGACTGTTTCACAGGACACCTGAGATCTGAGGACTGAGAATATGAACAACCTGGAGCTCAGAATCCCAAGGCCCACAACACCCTTGGACTGAGCCCCACCTGCATCCTGTCAGCAAGGCTTTCTCACTTTCCTCCTGCTTTTCTTGCCTCTGGCCCTGATCTTTCTTATTGCTTCACTCATTTTTCCCATTCTTTGCCACTGAAGGAGCAGAATCTTAAAGCATTTATGATATACCTGGGAGCTCTTCTCAATATGACCTATAGTGTGACTTTTCCCGGGAAGATGAAAACATCATTACATATATCAGGCATCAGCAGCAAATCAAAGAAATGACCCCACCCTAGCCTAGCTCACAGAACTGACCATTTGACTGGCTGACTCTCAGGAGCATAGATGACTCAAAGGCAGCTATACCACCAAATCAGCCTTCCCTATGTGGGTGATGACTTGTGAATGTTGTAGCCTGCAAGGCATGCAGACATCTCTGTCAATGAGTGTCTACCATCTGCTTACTGATTTTCATGCATGGCGTCGAGGTGGGGATGCATCTGGACTTCATGAATCTACTCAGTTGTATGATCTTTATATTTTCATTTATTTTCTGAATCTTATGAGCTGCTCTTTCCTGGGGGTGGGGACATATAGTGATGCTTTGATTTAGAAGAATGAGCTTCCTGGCCCATAAAACCAAAGGAGGAGGAGGAGGAGGAGGAGAGAAGCAGCAGCAACAGCAAGAAGAAGAAGAAGGAGAAGAAGAAGAAGAAGAAGAAGAAGAAGAAGAAGAAGAAGAAGAAGAAGAAGAAGAAGAAGAAGAAGAGGAGGAGGAGGAGGAGAAAAAGAAGGAGAAGGAGAAGAAGAAGAAGAAGAAGAAGAAGAAGAAGAAGAAGAAGAAGAAGAAAGAGGAGGAGGAGGAGGAGGAGAAAAAGAAGGAGAAGGAGAAGAAGAAGGAGGAGGAAGAGGAGGAAGAGGAGGAGGAGGAGGAGGAGGAGAAGAAGAAGAAGAAGATGTAGCAGCCTCAGCAGCAGCAGCACAAGCTGAGTCTGGAGCTCCTGGGAAGTTGGGTCACATCTCCCCAAGGCAAAGTCACACAGTTTAACTGAATTCACATGTCTTCCCATAAATCTTTCCCATTTGACACTTCTATATACCTTCACACACACACACACACACACACACACACATGCACACACACACAGATAGGGATAAGCAGTACATATAAGCAAATAAACTAACTATTTTAGAAATAGCTTGAGTCTCACTTTTATGACATAAAGGTGGGCAGAGATATGCCTCAGTGGTATGCAACATTTGGTGCTTCTGTGGAGAACCCAGGGATTCCATTCCCAGAACTCACGTAGTGGCCCATCATTACCCTTAAACCCAGTTGTAGGTAACTGAATACATTCTTCTTGCCTCTGTATGCAGAAGCATGCACACAGTGCACCAACAGACATGCAGGGTACACACATACACATATATTTACATTGTATATAAATATATATTAAATATATAAAACATTTAAAAAGATATGAGGACAAGATATGAGTTATGGAAAAGAGAAAGCATGTGGGTGCGTGCCAGAAGAGGACATCAAGCATCCATCATCCTTATACCTTATAGCTTTAAGGCAAAGTCTGTCTCTAAACCTGGGCCTTGCACTTTGACTAGACTGAAAGCCATTGAAGCATAAGGATCCTCCTGTCTTTTCCCTGTTGGAGCTGTGATTACACGTTTTCAAGGTCACCTTGCCTTTGTATGTAGGTGCTAGGATCTAAACTTTGGTCCTCATGATTGTGGTACAAGCTTTTTAAAACACTGAGCCATCTCTTCAGGCCTGAGCCTCTAGCTTTATCCATGAAGTTTCTTCTCTGTGCTCTGGATTTTCCTGACTGCCTGCCAAAATGAATTAGATTCATAAAGAAGCATCTGCAGCTTTCATTTGGCCACTGTGCACTACAATATGTACAGTGTGTGTCTCCTTCACTTGGTAAGTGGTTTGCCCATAATTCTGTATTCCCCAGAGAAGGGACCATGCTGCTTAATGATGTTTTTTGTTGAAGAATCTGAATGCAGATTGAAGGGCAGCTTTCTTTTCAGCCATATGTACATATTCCAGGAAACAGAGAGCATCCCATAGAGAAGGTGATCTCTGCATGATGGACACCTTGGCTGGGTGGTTGCCAGGCAGCCACTCAAGTGACAGGCAGTGAGATGATTCTTTACAGAGAAGGAAGGACTGCTTTGACAGTTACTATAATTCTTTTCAAATAAATTAGTTATTGTGATTGCAAAGAAGTGTTGACTATCTACCTCCCTGGTGAACCTGTGAAAATGAGCTTCATTCCTATTCAATGTGTAGTCATCTTTCCAAGCCCCTTGACCTGTTGAAGAGCTTTGCCCATTGCCATCAACAGAGACAAGCTGTTTTCCAGAGAAATGGACTCATCAGTGTTCTCAGAACTCATGGAACATGTGAGTTGTCAATCAAGCCCTTAGAACTACTAATTTGTATCTCAATGATAGTTTTGTCTGAGGGTCTTCACTAAATTACTACTTGACTTACCACCTTGTAACAGGGACTACCACCAATGAATACATGCATTTTCCAAGCCTCTATCTTTTAAGAAAGGAAGCTTAGGTTGCTATACAGGGGCAAATAGATGGAAAGGGGTCTTCACTTATCCATCATCTTCCAGAGGCTGACTTGGGGCTAAAGCCCTACTTGTATTCCATCTTCATTCACTCAACCACATTACCAAGTGAACACCTGTCTTCATTTCAGATCTCAAATGTTATAAAGTCACAGATTCCACTGGAGATTTTGTTAACTAATCTCTGTATGTGCAGGGTGGTATTGTCTAGGGTCATCAGACATGGATCAAATGGATCCCATAGGTTGTATTTATAAAAGGAGTTTTGTAGACACAAAGCCATGCCTTCTTGTGTTTATAGGTTGTTTATAGCGTCTTTATCCTGGAAATATACAGGATGAGGTATCTTAGAGAGTTTATGGCTTTAGCATCTGCAAGTTCCAAACTCCGTCCCCCCCCCTTTTTTATAGAATCAAATGTTAGTAGCTTCTTGAGTAAGTGAATGATATCAAAGACAGGTTATTCTCTTTACAGATCATGGAGAGCTGATAACAGTAAATGAATGCATAGGCACATGCATGACTTCCTAATAAGCTCCCTTGACATTGTAAAAGGATTAAGTTCAAACGCCCAGGTTTCTAGCCATTGACTCAGATCTCCCAAGACCACAGAGATGGACACTGAATCAGGCATACATGTTGTTTTGGTTGGCACTCCTTTCTGTCAAGACTAACCTTGTATATTTGATGCTTTTATGATGAAACCGGAATTCTCTGGCAACCCAATTTATCCACCCATCTTTGGTTTTCTGTAAGCCCCTTATGCCTGTCTGAGCAAGTGGTGAGTCACACAAGATCAATGTCTGCAGGGACCTGGCCACACATCACTCACTTGGGACTCATTCCAGCAGTCCTTGCCTGAGACAGAGAGCCCAAGCTGAGCCAGAGGCCTCTGTTTCTAGCACACTCGCTGAGCTGACAGCAAGGGGTCAGTGAGAAGGAGCTGACAGCCCTGTGACCTTTAGTTAATTGAACAACAGATCTCTGTAGCCTTCCAGAAACTGTGGAGATAGGAAACAGAAGGGATATATCGTACCAATAAACATTTTCTGATTTACCCCATCAAGCAACCTATGTATGCGATTATGGGATGTTGAGAGAGTGTACATGGATAAAAGTCAAAAGAAAGTGAACAAGTGAAAGCAAAATTCTCATATATTTCCATGGAGAATCTAGAAAAATATTCAATGTTTTGATAACAGACAGGCATCCGTAATGTCTGTTTTGTAAGCCCTGACACATCCTTGTGAGAATTCACATAGTATGTCATACCACACAGGTACCATATGTGAGCAATTATACATTATGATGACAGTTTTGAAGATGCTGAAAAGACATTACCAGACAGTATACAACCTATGGGTTTAGCTAGTGTTGATTTTTCATCACGTTGGCCTGGGGTAGGGACTTAGACACAGCTGCTTAGGAACAAAACTCTGTACTAATAACGTTTTGTAGAAATCTTCCCAATACTACTTATCAGTAATTTAATTCAATAATTTTTCACACACAGAATTCCTAGTTGGAATTTTATAACATTATATTTTCCTTGTGGACTTGTATATAACAAAGAAATTTAAATCCTTCAGTGTAAAGAATATCATGCAATGGTTAAGGGAGAAGGTGGCCAGATTCTGCCTCCAAGGTGTTCAGCATCCAGAGCCTTCTTTGTCTCAATTCTTTGCACTGTCAGACAGTAAATGAGAGAGGTCAGAGGCACAAGGAGCAGACAAGGTGAGAAGCTGAGCAGGTCAGTGCCCTCAGCAGGTTTGTCTTCAAACGATCTCTGTTGCTCTGAAATTGCCCAAGACAAATGTATTAGAATAGAATATGCCATACATACCCCTGGCCATGAATACCAGGAACCCTGGCAGTACAGCCTGGGGACCACCATCTTAACACATCCCCAACTCTGGTTCTTAAGTTGGAAATCCCAGACTCTGCCTGCTCTGTTTTTCATCTACCTTACAGCAACAGACACCAGGATTTATATGTTTCAGACGCAGGAGGGTCAAATGCAGCTTCCTGGGCCAGGTTTTGTGGCTCTGGGGAAGGGTATTAAATACAGTCCAGTTCCCAGTAACCCCTTGAGATGATTCTGCCACATATACACAACAGCTCAGCAAGTCTCACAACTTCTTTCACCTGCTTTCCCTCCCCAGGATCACAGAATTGGGCAGCTTGCATCTTCCATTAGAATTCCAGGAAGAACTTGATAATTATTCTCTAGTCTGCAAGGTTTGTTACATCAACCCACTTTTCTTAACTGTTACAAAATGAGATGGTTCAAGCAAATATATACAACGAAGCACACTTCTTTCTTGTCTACAGTAGTCTGGTTTCCCTTTACTTTAGGATTCGAGATCGCTGTCTCTTTTCTAAGGCACTTTCTGTTAGTGCTTTTATTTCTTCCTTTCATAATTGCATCATTCTGTCCTGTGCTCTCAGAACCCCACTCACAGACCTGCATTCCCAACTCTTCATATCTTCTTATGTCATTTATTACCATGATTCAATTGTAGTATCCACATTATGCCACAAACCTTGGACAGGCAAGGCCACATCAACTTAAACTTACTGTCTACACATCATCCACCCTGAGGTACTGTGATTTTTAGCTTTAACTGTCAACCAAACACAACCTGACATCACCTTCAAAGAAAGTCATATTGAGCAGTTGTCTTTATTGGATTGGCCTGTGGGAATTTGTCTTAAGTTAATTGATATGAGAAGACCCAGTCCATTGGGGGTGGCATTATTCCCTACGCAATATGTCTTGAACTATATGAAAGTGGAGAGAACCAGGTGTACTCAAACAAGTGAGCATGTGTGTATTCAAGCCTCATTTCCCTTGATAGTGTGATGTGACCAACTGTCTCAGAGTTACTGATGCTGCAGCTTCCTGCAATAATAGACCATAACCTGGAACTTTGAGCTAAAATGAGCTTTTTTCCCCTAAGTTGTTTTGTCATAATGTCTTGTCAAAGCAACATAAAGAAATTAGGGAAGGCATTCTTAACTTTTCTGTTATATAGGGGAAAAAACTATAAGTCAGAGGCTGGAGTGTGAGGGTTAGAGTGGTGTGTGGGTATAGGGTATAGGTGTGGGAGTGAGGAGTTGGAGCTCAGTGATAAAGCATTTGCTTAGGAGGCATAAGCCAATGACTCGGTCTCTAGTCCCTTTCTAAAATCTAATATAGGCCTCATGTCTAAAAATATATGTTAATTTACTTCCTTGGGATGACTTCTCCTTTCTATTCTTTGAATATTGAAGACCCTCATCTGTGTTTTAGATGTTAGCTCCCCACCTTGTTTTTTGTTTTGTTTTGTTTTTGTTTGAGACAGGGTTTCCTGTGTAGCACTGGTTGTCCCAGAACTCGCTTTGTAGACTAAGCTGGCCTTGAACCCATAAAGACTCATCTGCCTCTGCCTCCCAAGTACAGGGATTAAAGGTGTACACCACCATACTCAGGCAGCTTCTGTATTTTAAACAAACATCCCAGTCATATCACATACTGGGGTATGACTGAAGTTTCCTGTTCTCTGAGACCATGCTGTTTGCAAGCATCTCTCACTCTACCCATCACATTATATGGCAGTTGTTGGCTGGCTTGTCTGTCTCTGCTACAACACAAAGGGAAATCAGTAAGCAGGGCTGCATTTCATTAAATGTGACTTCTCAATATGCTGAGCGGCATCTGATGAAGTATGGTGAAGAGTGAATAATGAGGTAAAGGAACAAATCGGTGACTCACAGGTGAGTGAAACTATGAATGAATCTGTGATCAGAGGCTGAAGAACTCTGGAAGCTTCCAATAGAAGTCACTGCCTTGGCTATCCATTCATGTAAATGCAGCCAGAACATAGATTTTGCACACAGAGGCCACTGGGGCTACAGCACAGACAGAGACACCATCGTGGAGTAAGAGTCATCTCCAGACAGATCCCAGGAGGTTATGGATTGCGTCACAGATGTCCAGGCAGCTGTCAATGCCCAGTCTTTCATCTGTCAGTCAAAGAAGCTGAATATGAATGTCCAAATGTTCCTTTAGTCTTTGACTCATGTTCTTTCCTTTTGAGAGCTGTGGTTCCCATAAAGTCTCTTGGAATTATTATACTGATGTGATAGCTCATATCCTTTCCTCAGTCAACAGTGACCCTGTCCACCTGAAGTTCAACCCCATTTCTTCTGCCAAAATTCCATCCACTCTTTACTTTTAAAATCATTAATGTATTCATTATTAAAAGTGATATTTTTTCATAATAATGGGCTTATTCAACTGTATCTTGCACTATGTTTATATTCAACTGTCTCATTCTTTCAGTTTTCCATGCCACCTCCTTTTTTAAATTTTTTATTTAAATGAGAAACAGGCTTGCTTCACATGTCAATCCCAGCTCCCTACCCATCCCCTCCTGCCCTACCCCCACTAGCACACCCAACCCCCTACCCAATCCCCACTTGACTCATCAGGAAGGGTAAGGCCCTTCATAGGGGATCTCCAAAGTTTGTCATATCATCCAGGGCAGGGCTTAGGCTCTTCCCCATGTGTCCAGGCTGAGAGAGCATCCCTCCATGTGAAATGGGCTCCCAAAGTCCATTCAGGTGCCTGGGAAAAATACTGATCTAGTGCCCAAGGCCCCAAAGATTGCTGAGGGTCTTTGGGAGCACATACCTTCCTGAAGGGTCAAGAAACAGTGTAACCTTTGTAGATTTTGGAGATCAGTCCTCTGTCAGATAAGGGGTTAATGAATATCTTTTCCCTTTATGTGGGCTGCCTTTTTGTCTTGTTGACTGTGTCCTTTGCCTTACAGAAGCTTCTCAGTTTTAGGAGGTCCCATTTATTAATTGTTGATCTCAGTGTCTGTGCTACTGTACCAATTCATTCAAGGGTACCTCCCACTATCATTTCTGAGAAGTTCAGTGTGACTGGATTTATGTTGAGGTCTTTGATCCTTTTGAACTTAGGTTTTGGGCATGGTGATAGACATGGATCTATCTGGAGTCTTCTACAGGCCAGCATCCAGTTATGCCAGCACCATTTGTTGAAGATGCTTTCTTTTTTTCCATTGTATAATTTTAGCTTATTTGTCGAAGATCAAGTAGTCATAGGTGTGTGGGTTAATATCAGGGTTTTCAATTCAATTCCATTGTTCTACCTGTCTATTTTTGTACCAATACCAAACTGTGTTCAGGACTATAGCTCTATAATAGATCTTAAAGGCAGGGATGATAATACCTCAAGAAGTTCCTTTATTATACAGAATTATTTTGGCTATCCTGGGTCTTTTGTTTTTCCATATAAAGTTTATTATTGTTCTTTCAATGTCTGTGAAGAATTGTGTTGGTATTTTGATGGGGATTGCATTGAATCTGTGGATTGCTTTTGCAAGATTGTCATTTTTGGGATGTTGATCCTCCCTATCCAAGAGCATGGGAGATCTTGTCATTTTCTGACATCTTCTTTAATTTCTTTTTTTAACTCAAAGTTCAAGCTATACATGCCTTTCACTTATTTGGTTAGTGTTACCCCAAGAATATTTTATGTTGTGGATATTGTAAAGGGCAATGTTTCTCTGATTTCTTTATCATCTGTATATAATAGAGCTACTGATTCTTTTGAGTTAACCTTATATTCTGCCACTTTGCTGAAGGTGTTTATCAGCTGTAGTAGTTCCCTTGCAGAGTTTTTCAGGTCACTTATGTAAACTATCATATCATCTGTAAATAGTGAAAGCTTGACTGCTTCTTTTCCTATTTGTATCCCCTTGATCTCCTTTTGTTGTCTTATTTCTCTAGCTAGACCTTCAAGTGCAATATTGAAGAGTTATAGATAGTGGATAGTCTTGTCTTGTTCCAGATTTTAGAGGAATCGTGTTGAGTTCCAATCCATTTAAGTTGATGTTGGCTTCTGGTATACTGTATATTGCTTTTATTATGTTCAGGTATGTTCCTGTTATCCATGATCTCTTGAGGACCTTTATCATGAAGGGGCATTGGATTTTGTCAAAGGCTTTTTCAGCATCAAATGAGATGATCACATGGTTTTTCTTTTGCAGTTTTCTTATATGGTGGATTACATTGATAGATTTTCATATATTGAACCATCCCTGCATCCCTGGAATGAAACCTATTTAATCATTGTGGATGATTTTTCTGATGTGTTCTTGAATTCAGTTTGCTACTATTTTATTGAGTATTTTTGCATCAATGTTCATAAGGGATATTGGTCTGTAGTTCTCTTTCTTTGTTGTGTCTTTGTGTGGCTTGGGTACCAAGGTAATTGGAGCCTTCCCTATAAAGAGTTTGTCAACAAACCTCCTGCTTCTATTATGTGGAACAGTTTGAGAAGTATTCAACTAAGTCTTATTTGAATTTCTGGTAGAATTCTGCACTGAAGCTATCTGGGCTTTATTTTTTTAATTAGGAGATGTTTGATGACTGCTTCTATTTCATTAGGGTTTATAGGTCTGTTTAAATTGCTTAACCGTGCTTGTTTTAATTTTGGTAAGTGATATCTATCCAGAAAATTGTCCATTTTCTTTAAATTTTCAAATTTTTTGGAGCACAGATTTTCAAAGTATGACCTGGTGATTCTCTGGATTTCCTCAGAGTCTGTTGTTACATCCTCCTTTTCATTTCTGATTTTGTTAATTTGCATGTTCTCTCTCTGCCTTTTGGTTACTTTGAATAAGGTTTGTCTATCTTGTTGATTTTCTCGAAGAACCAACTCTTTGTTACATTGATTTTCTGCATTGCTTTCTTTGTTTCAACTTTATCGATTCAGCCTTCAATTTGATTATTTCCTGGTGTCTACTCCTCAGGGGTGAGTTTGCTTCTTTGTGTTCTAGGGCTTTCATTTATGCTGTTAATTCTCCAATGTGAATATTCTCCAGTTTTTTCATATGAGCACTTAGTGCTATAAACTTTCCTATTAGTATTGCTTTCAGAGTGTCCCATAAGTTTGGATTTGTTGTGTCTTCATTTTCATTGAATTCTAGGAAGTCTTTAATTTCTTTTTTTTAGTTTTTTTTATTTTATCACTTTTATTTTAATTTTAAATAGCTTGTTTTACATGTCAATCCCAGTTCCCTCTCCCTCCCCTCTTCCCGCACTCCCTCCCACCCTATTGCCAAATCCTTCCACATAGGGGATATCTAGAGTCTGTCATTTTACTCTTGGTAGGGTCAAGGCACTCCCATAAGAGTCCAGGCTGAGAGAGCATCTCTCTTTGTGCTATAGGCACACGAAGACAGTTTGTATACCAGGGATAGACACTGATCCACAGCTCAGGGCCCCATAGGTTGCCCAGGCCTTCTCACTGACACTCACATTTGGGGGGGTCCAGATCAGTCCCATGCTGGCCTCCCCCACTGTCGGACTGGGGTCCAAGAACACTCCCCTGTTCAGATCAGCTGTCTCTGCTGGTTTTGCCAGCCCATTCTTTGCCAATTTGCTCATCACTCCCTCTCTCTCTGTCACTGGGTTCCTTGGGTTCAGTTCAGTGATTAGTTGTGTGTTTGCCTCTGCTTCCATCAGTCACAGGATGAAGGCTCCCAGATGGTTATAGACATCAAGTTCATTATCAGGAATGGGCATTCGAGGTGGTCCCTCCACTATTGCTTAGCTTGCCAATTGATGTTATACCTTTAGATCACTCGAGGTCACTCTGGTGCCTGATCTGTCTTCGATCCTATGATTCCCTCTTCCCCCTATTCTACCCCCACCCCCTCAACTTCCTGTTCCCCCATGATTTCTTTATTTCTTCTGTGACCCAGGGATGGTGTAATTATGCATTGATCAATTTGCATGAGTTTGTAATTTCCATGTGTTATTATTGAATTCTAACTTTAAAGCATGGCGGTCTGATAAGATACAGGAGGTTATTTCATTTTTTTTGTACCTTTTGTGGTTTTCTATGTTGCCAAGTATGTGGTTGATTTTACAGATGGTCCCAGGTGATGTTCAGAATGTTTAGATGGAATGCTCTATAGATGTTTGTTAAACTCAATTGTGTCATAACTTCTGTTAGTTCCTTTGTTTCTTTGTTAAGTTTCTGTCTGGTGTTCCTGTCTAGTGGTGAGAATGGGGTGTTGAAGTCTCCCACTCCAATTGTGTGAAGTCTTCTGTGTGAGTTGAGTTTTCATAATGTTTATTTTACGAATGTGGGTGCCTTTGTATTTCAGGCATAAATATTCAGAATTGAGACTTCTTCCTGATGGATTTTTCCTGTGATGAATATGACATGACCTTCATCTCTATTTATTTATTTTAGTTTGAAGTATAATTTGTTCAATACTAGGATAGGTACACAAGCTTGTTTCTTGGATCCATTCAATTGGAAAATCTTATCCCAATCCTTTATTCTGAGGTAATGTCTGTCTTTGAAGTTGAGGTGTGTTTCTTTAATGCAGCAGAAGGATGGATTCTGTCTTCATATATATTCTGTTAGCCTGTGTCATTTCTTAGGCAAATTAAGACCATTTATATCGACAGAGATTAAGGACCATTGAGTGTTAATTCTTGTTTTTGATTTGTTGTTGGTGGTGTTCTTTTTGTGGATTTATCCCACTTTTTCTTTTGGGTTTTGGTAAAGTTAGAATATCTTTTGCCTAAACTTTAGTGAGCATCGTTACTTTCATTAGGTTGAAGTTTTCCTTCCAGTACTTTCTATAGGGCTGGATTAGTGGATATTTATTGTTTAAATCTGGTTTTGTCATGGAATATCTTGTTTTCTCCATCTATAGTGATTAAAAGCTTTGCTGGGTATAGTGGTTTGGGCTGGCATCTGTGGTCTCTTGTGTTTGTAGAACATCTATCCTGAACCTTCTGGCTTTCAGAGTTTCCATAGAGAAGTCAGTCAGGTGTGATTCTAATAGGTTTGTCTTTATATGTTTCTTGACCTATTTCCTTAGCTGCTCTTAATATTCTTTCCTTATTCTGTATGTTTGGGGTTCTGATAATTATGTGGTGAGGAGACTTTTTTGTGGACCACTCTATTTGGTGTTCTGTAGACTTCTTGTACTTTCATTGGCATTTCTTTCTTTAGATCGGGAAAGTTTTCTTCTATGATTTTTGTTGAATATGTTTTCTGCACCTTTGAGTTGGGTTTCTTCACTTCTTCTATCCCCCTTAGTCTTTGATTTAGCCTTATCATGTTGTCCTACATTTCCTGGATATTTTGTGTTAAGGCCTTATTTTTTAGACTTAAGATTTTCTTTGGTCGATGAATCTATTTCTCCTAGTGAATCTTCAATGCCTGAGATTCTCTCATGCAACTCTTGTATTCTGTTGGTTATACTTATAGTTCCTGATGATTTACTCACCTTTCCTAATTCCAGCATTCCTTCAGACTGTGTGGTTTTTTTCGTTTTCTTGTCTCTATTTCAGCTTGCAAACCTTGCACTGTTTGAATTATTTCTTGCAATTTTTGGTTTGTCTTTTCTTCCATTTCTTTAAAGGATTTTCTCATTTCCTCTTTTAGGGTCTCTATCATCTTCATGAAGTTGTTTTTAAGGTCATTCTCTTCTGCTTCATCTGTGTTTAAATGTTAAGGTCTTGCTGGTGTACAGTCCCTATACTCTGGTGGTGTCATATTGGTTTTTCTATTGTTGAATATGTTCTCATATTGTTGTGGTACAGGTGGGGTCTCTTCCTTTCCTGGTGGGTATGGGTCCAAGGTTCTCTTCCAGTAGGTGTAAGCAGGTCCAATACTCTGATTGGTCTCATGGTACGTGCAGGTGGGTCTGAGGTACTCCCTCTCCTCTTCCCTGAGAGAGCATGGGAGTAGACTGGCACTCAGAGCAGGCTCCTGGTTGCTTGGTCCTCCAGGGGTGAGTTGACCTGGCTGCAATCCCCAGGCCAAGAGATCCCAGAGAGGGCAAGAGGAAGGAAGTCGGGACCAGGGGGGCCTGGAGCTCACCTCTACCCTGAGTTGGGGCTCCTGGTTGCTTGGTCCTCCAGGGGCAAGTCTACCTGGCTCCCGTGCCACCTCTTACATGAACCTTTCCAATTTTTTTTTTTGGTTTTTACGAGACAGGGTTTCTCTGTATTGTTTTGGAGGCTGTCGGTCCAGCCTGGCCTCGAACTCACAGAGATCTGCCTGCCTCTGCCTCCTGAGTGCTGGGATTAAAGGTGTGCACAACCACTGCCTGGCCATGAACCCTTCCCATTTTTTACCAGGCAACAGAAGCATTGTTTGTTTTGCATTAGAGTTGAGGGACAAAGACAACACTTCTCATAGATTCCTCCTGGCTAGTTCAGTCTTGGCATCAATGTACTGTGTCAACTGGTCAATGCACTGCTGTTTAAATATTTACTTATTTATCTCTATGTGTATGTATATCTATCTATGTGAGTCTAGGTACATGTGCATGCACGTGTGTATGCACTATTCATGAGTGCCCCCTCCCCTTCACACAGTACATGCAGTGCATGCAGACTAGAAGAGGACACTGGGTTTGGTTCTCTGTTCCTCGCCTATTCCATTGAGGCAGGATCTCTTTATTTGAACTTAGGGCTTGTATTTTTTGGCTAGACAGGAATCCATCAAAATTCAGCCACCCTGCTGTCTCCCTCACAATCCTCTTTGGAGCTGAAGTTACTAAATACAATTATATGGGTAAATGTATAAATACAGTTATATGGGTATTTAATACAATTTTTTCCTCATGACTATGTAGCAAGTGACTCTTAATCATCGAGCCATCTCTCTAGCCAGTTCCCTAACTGCCATTTTAAACCTCACTTCTTTGTCTGAAAATAGTCAATATTAATGTAACTTCATAAGATAACCCAAATTAGAGATTATAGGAGACAAAATTTAAAGCATTATGCAGAGCATCCAGTAGAAAGAAGTGTTCCAGAATTAGCATTCCCCTTTTCTTTCTTCTCTTGTTTACTTGCACATTCCCAGTGTCCTTTGCCACCATATTCAAGTACATTCATTATGTTCTTTGACCATGTCATTTAAGATTGTTGCTCTGTTTGACATGGCCTTTCCTATTGTTTTATTTGATACTTATTCTAAGAAACTTCTAATACACAATTCAGTGATCAGAAGCTAATGGTGGGATGAGGCTTGGGGAACCTTCCTCTCCCGCAAATCTAGGCATTTAAAGGTTGGAGATGGGGGGAGGGAGTGATGGAGCAAGAGAGGGAGAGAATGTTCCCTCAGTATTGTAACCCCTCTTAAGTCACTTGCAAATATTCTTAATTGAACTTGGGTAGAATTCTTTTCCTTCTTTAGTCGCCCTTATCTGGGGCGAACAGACATTTGTTAAACTCCTCAGGAAAAGCTCACTGGACAGCATTGCACTAGGCTCCTTACAAATGATGGTGAGAACTTCAGAGAGTTTCTCTCTTGGCTGAAGACTCTCAGGGTGAAAGAACACAGCTCTCCTGGCTCCCAGACTCTCCTCTTACCCCACCCCCATCCCAGTTTGTGCTCCATCTGCCTCTTTGCTGGAGCTGCCACTCTGTCACAATTTTGGCTTCATGTTTGCCATTCTATATTGCATGGAAAACAAAAGAAAAATCATAACACTTCTAGGTGTTATAAGTTCATTATTCATTTGCTGCCAGACTGCCATTCCTATGACTCTTTCTGGAATCCCATCTTCATAGCAGAGAAAAATAAAAAGGAAAGGTTCAAGACAAGTATTGGTGGTGAATGAAGCCAGTAAGGCTCATCTGTGTCTATGCTGTTTCCCTTCACTCCCCAAGCAGGAAACAGCCACACATGCAGAAGTTCTGATGAGCCAAAAGTTTCAAAGGAATCCAGGTTAAAATGGAGACTGAAAAAGAATCAATGGAAGCGGGAGAAAAGGCTCAGTGGATAAGAGCCTTTTCTTACAGAGGACCAAAGTTTAATCTCCAGTCCTTGGGTCTGGTGGCTCACAGTCTATGCAACTCTAGCTCAGGGGATCTTACACATCTGATATCTGCAGGCATTTGCATTCATCTGTATATACCCACATGGACACACAGGCATACAGACCCACACAGATACACAATTAAAGATAAAGCAAATCTTTAAATCACCACATTGGTTATATTTCCTGGTGCTATTCCAAATTCCATGACAAAAGCAACTTAAGGGAAGAAGGCTGTATTCTAACTTATAATACAAGTGGACAGAGAATTCATCATGGTGGGTAAGGCATATCAGAGATTACTGAAGTGTAATGTTGTAACCTCTGTCAGGAAACAGACAAGTAGCAACTAGAGCCATTCTAAAAATACTCAAAGGCAGCCCCAAGGGACACACTGACTCTAGCAATGCTCCATGACCTTCCCAAACAGTGTTGTCAATTGGAAGCTAATTGGTCAAGCACATAAACCTATGGGTGGGCACTTCATACTCAGACCACAATAATCACCCATTTTCCAAACACCAGTAGATTATTTGCCACATCAGTGACAGGAACTGGGAGAACTAGCAGGATATAAAAAGACTGCATCTCAAACCAATGGCTAGGGAGAATAAAAGGACTTGGCCAATGCTCAGGAATAAGGCTAGGACTGAGTGCTGAGGTTACCTGTGGGTAATCAAAACCCAGCACTGGTGAGGCAGAGGTAGGGGGATCCCTATGAGTTCGAGGTCAGCCTGGTCTACAGAGTGAATTCCAGGACAGCCTCCAAAACAATACAGAGAAACCCTGTCTTGAAAAACAAAACAAAACAAAAATAAAGTTCTAAAGGACTCTGCCAGGCAGTGGTGGTGTCTGTCTCTAATCCCAGCACTTGGGAGGCAGAGGTAGAGGCAGGCAGATCTCTGTGAGTTCCAGGCCAGCCTGATCTACAAAGCTACACAGAGAAGCCCTGTCTTGAATAAAATAATCCTAAAGAGGCTTAACAACAGTTTAGGGTTTCCCAGGCCCCTCTCTCTTCCTTCCTTGGTCATCAACCATGTTACACCAGTGTACATGAATGTGAATGTAATGCAAAGAAAAGGCCAAAACAACTTTGGAGGAACAGC